CCTACATACTGCCAGTCATCAGCAGCCATCTGAACATGTGCACACTTTTACTCATCTGCCCAACCCAACACAACAGTACATACTAAAACACCTAGCAGACACTTCCCTCAGAAACTGCACCAGATTGCCTATTTGGGCAACCCCGCAGCTTGCCTAACCAACTAGCAATTGACATCAGCAGCATTCCATGGCTAACGAAAGGGGCTACTACCACTGCATCAATAAGGACAGTAGCTCGCACACAGTAGCTCAACAAAACATGAAGATCGTGGCCATAGGTCCAAGGTGTCCACAAAGCTGTCCCTTCACCCAGCACAACAATTGTTGCGGTGAGGATGCATCAGGTGCTGCTGTGCAGGTCTTAGTACATGTGCATGACACCTTCACTTAATGCTATCAATGCCACTGTAGCAAGCTACATTTCCCTTAGAATATTTCAACGATTACTTTTAACAATAATTGTTAATTCGTTCATGATTCGACTCAAGTTTTGTACATGTTACGAGCCACGTCACATGCATCGAACATGACAGTTGTTCGTAAGCAAACCTAACGGGCTGGGGCCCTGGGCCCCACCAACATTATCCTAGTACGGCAAGACCGTGGTAGGGAATCTCCGGCAGGTAGGCCGAGATATAAGCTACCCGGGCGGGGTGCTCTGGCCAGACACTGACGTATCACATCTACTAGGTGTTCGGAGTTCAAGACTCCACTGCCGCCATCTCTGATTGTTTCATACATGTCTATGTACGCTAGTGCTTGCCGCTGGGTTGGACTTATTCCTACTCCGGCGAGGTGTAACACAGCAAAGGCGTAACCCGGGATGCTCAGATTGGCATTTGCGTCGTTACATTGCCCCCCACTTAGCAATGGACGTCCTCGGCCATTATTTCGAGCACAGGAGCCATCCCACCTCGCGCCAGTGCGCTGGTTTATCCATTACACCATGAAATCGCCAATTTGCGACTTGCTGGTTGCCAGAATCGAACCGCCGACCCGAAGTTTATTTCGGAATTCGTGCGGTCCCGTCTCGATACCATTGTAACACAGCAAAGGCGTAACCCGGGATGCTCAGATTGGCATTTGCGTCGTTACACGAGGACAGCCAACACCACGCTTCCGCTTATCCAGTCGACCCGCCAGGTGAGCAACTGCTACAGCCACGCAGAATGTACAACCGGGTGTTGGCTGACCGCTCATGCTTTTTGGGGTCGGGCGGCCAGGCAGCCTCTCGCTCCTCACAGGCCTTCCTCTTCTTCGTTCCTGCCCGCACCTTAAACTTGTTGTAGATGCTAGGATCCACCACAAAGTAAAGGCTGGGTTGGCGGCCCTCCTGGCCCGGAGCAGAGATGCCGAGTCGCTTGAACACGTCTTCGAGGTCATCAGCATTAATTTCCTTCATAGCCGACACAGTCATCTGGAAAAGGTACATTGCCAGCACCATAAGAGCATCAATGACGGGGAAGTTGGAGGACTTGGGCCTCAAGTATGTGTCCATCTTAGTGCTCATCATACCATGGACCTCATTGTCTGTGAAGATGTTATACTGCTTGCATTCCGGGATATCCAGCTTCTCCTCCTTGCCCCGCTCCAGAGTCTTCGGGTCCAATGGCAACACATCGAACTTGCCGCCAGTCGCCAGTGCAGCATGCATGACTGCCTCAAAGAGGTAGCCCTTTAACACCTTCGCTGCCATTTAGCAGAGATATCAATTCCCCCCTTTCACATTTCCATGCCCGTTTGGCAAACTCGACAGCCACCCATTTGGTAGCAAAGTTTAGGTACTGCACCTCGAACTTGTGGTCAACCACAATATGGATCACGCAATGGCCAACCGAACCTATCGTGATGGGAGCAACCAGGGAGGCAGGCCAGGTCATAGGTGTGTTACAGGTGAAAGGCAGGTACAACTTGCCAAGAAACGAGATATCTGCAGCAATATGAACATGGAAGGACACAAGAGCTCAGCAGCAATGCAAACATACAGAATCAGTTTCCACTGGATAGAAGGATCATCAACATCAAAACTCAGGCAATGCAGGCGAAAACTGGGCAACGACCTTAAATGACATGAGGCTCAGACAGAGGACTAGCTACACTACAGTGCTTCACCTGAGAAACGTTGCTTGCATCTATGGTGCTGATCAGTGGCTCCTGCAGCTTAGACAACATCCAGTTGGGGTTCTTCAACGGCTGCTCAAGCACATACCGTGCTACACCGCCATAGTAAGTGTAGAGTTCCTCCACAGTCGCCTCTGGCACTGCACTATACATCTTGCTGCGGGCACATTTATGGTGCGAGGGAAAGCAAGTAACAACTTTTACTGTTTACACGCGGGACAATTGGCAACAAGTGCAGTTTAGTTAAGGGCCTAGCTCCCACACCACCCGTCCCACACCCAGCACCTGCGGCAGTCAAGCAGCTCCTTAAGCTCCCAGAAAGGCATGTACCAAGTCACAGCTACTGCCTTCCTCATCTCCTGCAGCCCGAGGGAGGGAGGCCCTATGGCAGTCCGGAGACGTGTAACTCGTCAGGCTCGGTAGCTACGGGGCAGTTGTCTGGACAGGTTACTCGCCAGCTAGAAGCTTGATAAATGG